CTCTCTAAAACGCTGCCACAACCGAACAATGCTGTCAGGCGGCGAGTCATCCGAATCGCATTCAAATAAACAGTTGTTTAATCAAAAGCTTAGCGTATAATACCACCGGAGCTACGAAACCCATGACGTCCCATAATTTAGCAACGCATGACTGTATTGTGCGCTTTGTGCATTTCTCTACGGGCGGATTTACCTTAAGGCTAAACACGTCGGACTCCGGTGACCAACACAGACCGAGCACCTTGTGTGTATCAGAATCGTCGAATTCCTTTATCGCCGAAAGACGGTGTGATAGTGGGATTGTATCTAAAACCGGACGCGAATTACTAGTCCACTTCACAAGATCGAATTGACCCGATTTCATGAGCCTTATAACCTCGGCGGTGGTTAGGGTGGCCTCCTCCACGCTATCGACCGAGTATACAAAATCATCCATATATAAACCGCTCCCAATTGCCCTCTTAGCTTTAGGGTAAGAGGGACCTTCATCGTGGGCGAGCTGTTTCACCGTGCGTAACGCATGAAGTGGGCTCGACTTTAAACCAAAACAAACGCGGTTAAATTCAAACACCATTAGAGGTTCCTTTGGGTTGAAACGATATAAAATGCGTTGGAATCTACGGTCGCATTCACGGATCCCTATGCAAAGAAACATTTGGCGAATATCGGCGGATAGTGCTATACTAAACAAACGAAAATTGGCCACTATAGAGGATATCGTTAAGCGACAGGTGAGTGCTAGTTTTAGCACTAGCGTCCAGCACTACACGTAACTTAGATGTAAGTTTGTCCTCCCTAATGACCCCGTGATGTGGTATGAAATACGACGGTGTGTCTTCGTAGTTATCTAATTTCGAAGCCACAAGTGATATGTAACCTTCCCTTATATATTCGTTAATGATGCCGTCATAAGCTTCTTTTAACTGGGGTGAAGCAAGCATCCTACGCTCCAAGCAGTAGAAACGTTTTTCCGCCATTTGACGCGAATCGCCGAGAGATAAAACATCTCCTTTAAAAGGTAGCGCTACACTATATCTACCGTCGCGATCACGAACGGTCGTGCGGACGTAAATTTCCTCGCATAATCTGTCATCTGAGCTAGCTATGGGTGGGACGTTCACCTCCTCCATCTCCCAAAATTTGCGGATTAACGACTCGAGCGGTTCGACAGCCATACCACAATAAGAGGTTCCCGAAATACTATCCATGATGGGGGCGGAGCCAATGATGACGTAGCCCAATACGGTTTCCAGTGCATATGGCGCGGTATGCGAGGAGTTGCCCCTGACCTTATTGTTTAGCAAAAGATGAGGGAAAAGCGATGCTCCAATGAGCATGTCTATGTTTCCAGGAACGGCGTAAGTGTCGTCCGCTAGAGTCAAATTTTTAAATTCAATCATTGCCGAGACGTCAACCGAAACGGTTGGCAGCCGTTCAGTGACCCTATCCACTACTAGTGCATTTATATCAAAGTTAACATTACGATATATCCTAGAATAAAATTTAAAATTTATATATCCCTGGGAAGCTTTACTAGTACCTCCGATGCCTTTGACTAGATGACATGAAAGTGACCTATTTATTACTAAGCCTAAGCGCTGACAACATTGTCGCGTTATAAAGCAATTTTGGGCTCCGCTGTCCAGCAGTGCACGGACGCTTTGTTCGTTTCCACGCGAATCCCTAACCAAAATACGCGCCGTACCCAGTAACACGGTTGAAGGAGGTTGTGCTCCCATATTCGCCAATGAGCACAGAGCGACATCACCAGGTCGACCGCTAGAATCGTTGACTTTAGTAGGGGTGAATTCCTTATCCGCTTTACTTGACGCCGCTATGTTGCTATTTTCAAAATGTAATAGCGTGTGATGTTTCCTGGCGCACTTGCTACATACGGAACTCGAATTGCATTTTGCAACTAAATGCTTATCACTTAAACAGTTCAGACATAGGTTGTTTGTCTTTACTAATTTATAATGTTCGCTTGGTGAATATTTACGAAAAGTCGCACAATTATATAAATTACCGTGTTTATCTTTACATACGATGCAAGCATGCTGAAGTGATGCTGACGTAGCGGTTACGTAAGTTAACGACCCTGCTATTTAAGATGGTTGAATCTGTCTACGGTCGACGCACCTTTTAATCTCCTGTTTAACGTTCGGAGAGCGCTGCATCACCTTTATTTAATCTCGCACGAAGGATGCTAATGAATGAAAGGAAGGCATCTCCGAGCTACGATGCTCCATTTCAAACGCACACACGGTGTCGGGGTCTAATTTCTTTAGTGCAATATGGAGAAACATCACGTCCATAAGGTCATTAAATTTCAAATTCTTAAGTGCAGCCACCGATGCCACAAATTTATCTAAAAACTGCCCTAAGCCGTTGATGTTCACGGATGATATAGGTTTAAAATCGAATATCTGGTTCAAATATTCGGAAGCTAACATTCTCCTATGTTCATATTTAGTTTTAAGCGTTTCGAATATTAACAAGTAATTGTTTGCTGTAGGTGTAAACCCGAGCAAATTGACTGTGCCCTGCCACTAAGTTTACTAATTAAATAATATAATTTTTCGCGTCCGATAACGATGGGTTATTGTGTATATTGTTTTGAAAACTACTGAAGAAGAAGGGCCATGTCTTAATATCACCATTGAATACCGGAATATCTATTGGCGGCAACCTAATTGAGTCACGTGGACGTACCTGTATTTCCGGCTTTGCTTCGTTTTGAGATGGAGACTGTAAGAGTTTCGCCGTTCTTTTCACGCGACACAACATATCTTCAAATGCTAGAAGCGGTTGGTAGTTCACTATGTATTTCGGGTCGATTTGTAATTCCAAATGATTAATTTGGTCTAATATTCCTTCGTAATCCGTCCGCAAAGAATCCACCGTTTCAATTTCATTCAAAAAAGTTTCCCGCACTGCTTCTACATTGATGTTCTTTATGTGATCACTAATACTTTGTATACGTGAAAAAAGTAGGTCCCTCTTGGCATAAAGCGTTTTAATTTTAATTTCATTTCAACTAACTGCCATTTTAAATTATTATAATAAAGTTATATTAATCACAATTAATCTCACAACGCACAATTAATTGAGGATGGACACTCGTATGCCGTATTACGTAATTAAATCGAGCACCTGTTACAGCGAGTCGAGGTGACGCGTTGCTCGCCAAACTCAATATTTTTATCAAAATTGTCGGGTAAACGTACCAAACGGTTGCGATTACACTGTTTCATTTATTTAAGCGACTATAAAGCTTTAAATTTAAACCAAATACAAACACTATTTAAATGAATAATTCTGTTTGCGAGTACCTAACCAAAATTTAAATTTAAACGAACACTATTTAAGACTATTCCATAAATTAGAGTGCATTATTTAAATAATTAATTTAATAATTCGACCAGAAAATGGTTGAACGACTACTAAACACCAGTCCAAATCCTGCCGAAGGACCATAAAATGGTGGAGCGTCGAGCCTAAGGTTGCCGAAGTCTAATTCCCCGGTCGAACCTTAAACCTATTACGCGAGATATTAATCTAAGTGGAATGTATCTACAAAATGCTTCTACACTTATATAACGACAACTATAGCGCGCGGTACAATGCACTCGCTATTCCCTAAAACGAACTATTATTTACCAAATCGATGAAAGGAATCCTGCTTGATTAGGAGAAAAACAAAATTGGAGCGGGTTAAAACACAATTATATCAAGCAGGCAATATTATTGGGAATATTCACTCTCCGGGGTGTTTCTTCTATGCTGTTGGGCACTATAGCTGCGACTTCTGGAACTTCTTCTAGAACTATTTTTCACACGAGGTGAGGCGGGTTTCCTGGAGCTCGACTGCTTCCAGGCTAAAGCGGTTCTACTAGCGGTGTGGTTCCAACAACGAGCGCGGCGGGAAGAGGGTGCGCTTCGGTCGCGCGTGCCCTTTATACCTTCGGTTGCGATGATTACGTGATATTCTAGAATCATCTTCTTTCCCCTCCCACCCCACCACCCCGATGTGTCGATAGGAGGGTAGGAATGATATCGTTTTGGAAAGGGATAAGCGATTTGGCAGCCTACCGTCAAAATAAATAAATACGAATGGTTTTCCGCGCAACCACAATATGTAACGTAATTAACGCACACCCTCAGATACCCCAATTAGTATATTATGTTATAATCATAATACACACACTGAATTTTTAGTTAAACATTTTTATGCACTGATTATTTATCAAATTAGTTATATAAATTCCGGAAGAATGTTGTGGTCACACTACAAATTCACGAACGCAAAGACTTTAACGTGCTTGAAATAAAGTTCATTTTTCTTTATTTTTTAAGAATGACAGAATTAGTAATAATACAAATAAAACTGCACTCTTAAAAGTCTTATTGCCTTAAGTTACGGTCCCTTTCAGCTTGTTTTGTTTGTACAGATTTAGTGTAACTGTAATTTACGTAATTTTATTTATTTTTGGGATAGAAAAGTACCTATATTAAAAATGATAGAAATCGATTCAGTAAACGAGTCTAAACCAACTACTTTCTCAAAGTGCGTTAATTATGTTACGTATTGTATATCTAGTATAAATAGCTACCAAATTATTGTTTCATTATGTTTTATGGTTTTACTTATTGTAAGAAATTCATTTAAGACTATATGTAAAAACAAATAAGCAGTCGAATGGGTGGGGTTTAACTTTATCAGGAGGGCGCTCACTATGTTTGCCGACTCCATAAAGTCATTTCCGAGATTACCCAGCTTGACATCCGGGACTTGGGTATATTACGCGTGACACAACACACCACAAAACAAAAAAAAAACACTATATATTTTTTATCATTTAACCCAGTGTTCCGCAAACTTTTTGTGTTCAAGGTACACCTAGGAAAACGAAAAAAAATTGAGGTACACCACAAATTAAAAAACAGTTTTTAAGTAATATTAATCAACAAACCTAAACATTAAATTTCAGAAAAGGTATTTAATGCGAAACATGAGACTGTTTAATTGAGCACAGACGGTCTAAATTTGGAGTTATCGCTGACAAGGCTGCTCTCATTTCTTCGTCGATCGTCCTGAGGCGTTCCCTTTTTTTGGTTTTTATCGTGGTAAGAGTCGAAAATCCTAATTCACTCAAATAGGTTGTTGCAAACGGCAAAAGTATTGCAATAGCATGCTTAGAAAGCAGAGGATATTCATTTTTCACACATAGCCAAAAATGTTGTAAATCAGTTTCAGAAAATTTTAATTTTAATGTGCGATCCGTTTTCATTCCCATTAGTTCTTCCTGCTTATTTATTGGTAAGTGGCCGAAAGGAATGTTCTCGGAGAATGGATTTTGAACCCAGTCCATAGGTTGCAGATCACGCTTAGGGAAATAGAAATTCATTTTCTCTGCAAGAAGCTTTAAGTGTTTGACAATCAAAGCCTGCACCCTTTGTTCTATATCAGCTGCCATGACATTTGGGAACATTTCATTATTACCATTCGTAGCGAGACTGATCCATAGTTTCAATTTAGCGCGAAAGCTTTCAATAATTTTATCCGACGATGTCAAAATATTGGAATTACTGCCTTGCATTTTTTATTGAGCTCATTTAAGTAAGCAAATATATCCGTTAGATATGCAAGTTTTGCTAGCCATTCTTCTTTTTTAAATAAATGTGCATAATCTGAACCCTGGGACTACAAGAACATCTCAGTCTCATTTTTCAACTCATAAATTCGGGAAAGTACTTTGCCGCGAGAAAGCGTCGTATCGTACCTCTGTATGAAACAAAAGCGACTGATGATCTGCCCCCATTTCATGACACAGTGCATTAAAAATACGAGAGTTCAGCGGTCGCGACTTGATGTAATTGACGATTTTGATAATTTCTTGAAGAACGCGCGATACATCGTCAGGTAGAGACTTCGTCATAAGAGCTTCCCTATGTAAAAAACAATGCTGTTTTTGAACATTAGGATTTTTTCAGCAACCTTAGCTATAAAGCCTTTAACTTTCCTATCATAGCCGCTGCGCCGTCTGAGCAAACACTTATACAGTTATGCCATTCCAAATTATGCTCATTGAAAAATTCGTCCGTTACTTTAAATATTTCTTCACCAGTTGTATGGTTAGGCAGTGGCAGACAAAATAAAAAGTCCTCTTTTAATTCACATCCATCAATGTATCTAACATTTGAGATGAGATGCGCGTGACCACTGATGTCAGTGGACTCATCAACTTGTAGCGCAAAAACTCCACTAACTCAATTTTTCAATCAACGTCGATTTAATGTCATTAGATATGTCATTGATTCGACCTGAAATCGTTTCTGCCGATGCAGGTATTTTTTCAATTTCTTTAGCAGCTTTTTGGCTAATCATTTTCTTGACAATTTCTTTGCAAACAGGTAAAACTACAGTTTCAGCAAGAGAGTGCGGCTTTTAGCTTTAACTAACATATTAGAGATTACGTAGCTTGCTTTTTGTGCTATGTCTGAGGTTGGTTGCTTCTTCGATTGGTCCTTCAAACGTTGAAAATACGCTTTGTCTTTTTGGGTTACTGATGGGTGTTTAGTAGTTAAATGTCGTATTAGTTTACTGGGCACGATCGAATTATTACCCAACGTTTCTCCGCAAACAAGTCATTTTGGGGTAGGAGAAGATTCGTCTCCGCAATATGTAAAACCGTAATTTATGTAGCTTTCTTCATATTTTCGATGAACAATTTTGGGGTTTCTTTTTCATTGACTCTTTCAACAAACTTACACTACGTTTAATGAATTTATCCATTATTTTAATATTTATTTTACGCTTTGAATAATAAGCGTAACAATACGCGACGAATCAAAAGCGTGCCGTGTTGTCGTCTACATGCCATAGGTATGTCATGCAGGTATCGAACCTCGGGGTATATCCCCATTACCCGGATGTTCATCATAGACCATGACTATGGGCCAGTCCTTAGAGCCTATTTCTAGGCGTAGATGGTTGTTACGGGTTAATCCGTAGTCAGGAATTTTTTTCCCGTAGTCGGTTAACCACGGGAAATCAAATCAAATCAAATCAGTTTATTTTGTGAACATAGGTTATTTTACAGATCTCAATATATGTCATAGTAAAATACAAGGTAGGTTCTCTATGTCCCGCCAGTAGGCATACAAAATATAAAAAATAATAATTGCTTAATATTTTTTCTTCTCTTCTGATGTCAGTTTTTAATTGAAATAATGTATTAATATAAGAAAATTTTAAAGATAATAAAGGTATAGTATAATATAACATATAATAATTATCATCATTTTGTCTAATTGTCATCTAGTATTAATTGGCACATGTCATGATAGGTATATTCATTGTAGTATTTTAATGTTAAAATGTGTCGCTAAGGAATTCATCTAAAGAATAATATGCTTTTTCATTTAGTATATCAAAAAGTTTACGTTTATAAATATTAATGTTGTCACAATATCTAATGTATTTAGGTATTTTGTTATTTACTTTTGGTGCCATTGCACATATACTCTTCTGTAATAAAACAATTCTACTTGATACTAAATGAAGCTTATCTGAGCGACGTTGACTTTCCACGAACTTATACATGTTAATATTACGTTTTACAAAAATGCTTGTTTCATAAATATACAGGGTGTTAGTGTAAACACCGTTGTCCTTGAAACCAGTGGTTTGGTTTCACTTATAGAAAGTAATTTCAATGAAAAATAACAACATTTTTTTAGTCAAATCTCAATTTTTTCTTACAATTATTTCACCCTAAGCAAGTAGGGTATAATATATATACCTACAGAATTCACAACAAAAAACTCAACATATCGTAGGTAGCGGCAGCGATTCGCGGTCAAGGCCAATGTCATTGTGTCAGTAACCTTCGCAGCGTCGGTACGCAATGTACGTGTTAATTTGATTTAAAATCGCGCCGCGCAGTGCCGAAATTCTACGTTGCTTTAGGTTGTACTTTTGGTGCGAGTGTATTTAATTTGTAATTATGTCCTACATAAACGTGCAGTGGAAATGTGCCTCTTCGTTCACTGAGAAACCTCTACTACCAACATGACGGTGCCCCTGCACATTTTCACCTGCAAATCAGGGCTATGCTGGTTGAGGAGTTTCCTGGGCGATGAATGGGTCACCAATTTGATTAACCTTCGATAATAGCACTGATTTAACGGATTGTATGCGACCATAAAAATCTATATTATTTTCATTTTGGTGTTTTTTTAATGTTTCTAATTCAATGGCTAAACATTCCTCGCTACGTGGGTTGCCGAAGTGAGTTAAAAACAATTCCTTGAATTCGGCCCACGTCTCTATATCTTCCCGTTCACTGATAAGCGACGCAGCCTCGCACGTAAGCATTATATATTTATTTTGCATATCTGATGATTTAAAGTTACTTATTATGTATTCAGATTTACGCAAAAATAAATTTAAATGGCGTTTATCGCCGCTAAATGTTGGTATTATTTTAGTTAATTCATTAGGGATATGTTTAATTTCCGAAATTTTTAATAATTTATTCACTGGTTCTACACAAAAATAAAAAAATATAATAAAATATTTATTATAACTCTACCAGTTCCACAAAAGTCGGTAGGAAAATTCGAGTATAAGTACTAATCTATTATGTATTAACGTTTTGAGTAATCTTTAAATTAACAAACACATGTAGACACAATAAGAACTTCATATAATGTTTAATACTTAATATAATATACTCTATAACTTTATTGAGTAATATGGGACTTAATATTATGTACGTATTCCAGTTAAATTAATATTATTTTAATTTTTATTTAAGTAATAGTTATTTATTGCACTTAATACTGTTACGAGCTTGAGGTTCGTGACAATAAAAACTGCCGATTGAATTACCAAAATTTACACTTTTATTACCTAACACCAATTAAAACTTAAAACACTAATAATTAACCACACTGATTCACTTTATTTCGCTCCGAAGCTTCGCTTGTCTCGCCAAATTCAATACTGCCTCGACAGCGTCTTGCAGCGCCTTTAAATACACATTTTTCACCAAAACGTCCAGAATATTCAAGCGATCCGCGCGCCAAATGACCAGGCGCAGAAAGTTCGAGTGTGGGGCTTCCAGAAAGCTTAATTCTTCTGTTCGATACTAGATGGCGCTGTTGGTCGAAAGATTAGTCATGTCATTTTCTGAAAAGCTCTCCTCGCTTTGTACCTGACACTAGATGGCGCTAGTGTCAGACGTCGACTTAGGCGCGCAACAATACTTTATAAAATTTACGTAAGATTAGTATTTGAAACCCAAATAACAGTCAAAATGGAAAATGTCTAATTCCAAGTTTACTAAGGGATATGAAGGAGCTGAAAAGTCACACTCACAAGCCCGCAGTTCCCATCATCAGCTTCATGGTTCTTTATTCTCGACAAATTTGTTTTGGTTCGCTGGATCACCGCGCTGTATGGATCGTCCGCCGATGCTTGACAATGGGTAAAATTGTACACGCGATATTCACTAACGGTGGCACAGCTTTTCCGGTGATCCTACCGGCTGCGCCAGTCAAGTTGCGGGAGTTGCCGAGAACTTTTTTAAAACTAATTAAAACTACGTGTTCACAGAGAGAGATGTGAATTTATTCTGACCATTATCTTTTACAATTCTTAATCCCAAGCTTACAGTCTACTTAAATTACTACATACTCAGCGTTTATGTATTTATGCTGATGGACGCTTTATATGTATTATGGGTGGTGCTGGTGTAACCATAACTACCTTGTAAAGGAGAGATGATGACATTCATATAACTAACCTATCTTTTTATCCTGTAGAATTTTTTTTTATATAGGATAGGGTGACAAATGAGCACACAGTCCACCTGATGGTAAGTGGTTGCTGTGGCCCATAGACATCTACTCGATTCTATTCTCGATTACGAATCAAAATGCAGATGCGTTGTCACCCGTGAGGACTAAGATGGAATGCCTCGTTTCCAGTAAAAAGGGTCTCCGGTTCTCTACACTCACCATACGAAATACAGCAGCATTAAGCTACTATTTCACGCTGGTATTCTGTGAGAGCGTGGTCTTTCCCCGGTCTAGCCGACCCATTCGTGTTACAACTATACTACTACTAATATAACTGCAGCATGGCTCTACCATGTATAAAAAATGTCAAATGCATAAAGAGTTCGGTTACATGAGGTTTTGTTCTGTCTCTTATTAGTTTGTGGTTCTGTATTTAACACTCTCTATGCTAGTAATTACTCTGAGGCACTAGCACCTGCTTGACAGCTTAAAAGTTTTGGCGGGAACTTGGTCGTCGACGGACTGTCGCTCCGTTTTGTCAACCGGATAATGGTTTGAAGTGGATTTTAATTCATAAAAGTGATGTGATTTTGTGAATTAAGTGTCTATATGTGTGAACTATTAGAGAAAACGACGAAACAAGTGCTTTGATGTTGATATAAACCTCAAGTTAATTTGATTGCTTGGGTGCCTTATGAACTTGAGTGGCTGTCGTCATCAAAAGTTCGATGGGTTGAGCTGTCGTCAAAATCTTCCAAAAACTTCGCAATGTGATGCATCAGCATATTATGAA